CGTCAACTCCCCGAGCCACGTTTGGGATCGCAACAGGAAGAGCTGACTCAGAAGACATCTCGCACGGCGGATGCCCTTAGCAAAGAGGAATAAGCAAGCAGGATGAGCAATTGGATGATTATGCACACAAATCACTGGGGAGAGGAGTCCGGCACAGGGGTAATCCAGCAAGAGCTGCGGATGCACACGAGGACCTGGAGGGAAAGTGCAATGTGCAGTCAGCAATAAAAACAAGGGGGAAGGAGAAGGAGGGGGGAAGTGCTCATGATCTTCTGGAAGAAGGAGGGGTGCAATGGTGAAAGCACATGAATGAGAGTCCTTCAGGAAAGGTGAGCCGTGGGAGAAAGTTGCGTATGTGGGGCAGGGGAAAGGAAAACTATGAATTGAAAGTGTTGGAACTGTTTCCTGTAGAGAAATGGCAAAGACACCTACAGAAACTCAAAGGAAAAAAAAAATTGCAAGAAAATCCAAAGATAGAGCTTCCTCTGCACACAAGGAATCTTTGCTTCCAATTCACTTGCTGCCGTGCTTATCTGTTAGCAGTAAAATGCATTCACCCATCCCAAGCTCTCAAAAAACCCTAGTGCACTAATAATTAAAAAAAAAAAAAAAAAAAAAAGAGTTTACATCCCCTGAAGAGGGACATTATGCATATGATGAAAGCTCCAAAGAAACTTTGTCAGGCTATGCTTAAAGGAAAAAAAGGTGGAAAACGAAGTGTTTGCAGACAGAAGAGAACAGACAGAAGAGCAAATGCAGGGAAGGGGTGAAAAAAGAAATAAAACAAAACCGAGGAAATACTGCTCATCTGGGGCTTGTTAAATGCTACATGACAGACAGGGAATGCTGATGGATTGCTTCACTGCATTTGGTGCCATACTTTCAGTGTCCTTCCAGACTGATAGCATGTTTCCTTATCTAAAGGAAAAGGCACCTTTAGTGATGCTGAGGATGCTGGACTTTAGCAACTCTGGTGCAGATGGGTGAGCAGCATGCCAGCATGCCAGCAGGACATCCTTTGGGCTCCTGGCTTTTTTCTTCCCTCTCTCTCTCTCTCTCTCTCCAATCAGACTAAATGAAATAGAGCTATTTGTGGGTTTAGAAGTGGCAGCGGTTCAGCCCGCTCCATCCCCAGGTGCCAAAGGGTTGAAATAAGAGAAAACTCTTACGGAACATTTGTGCACTTTCCAATTGCCACACAAGTAGCCGCAGGAACAGCCCAAGCTACGATTCATCTTCTGAGCAGTCCCAGAAAAAGGGTTAGGAAGCTCTTATTTTCAAGCAGGGGAAACTGATGTGAAATTTGGCATGATCAGGACTTGAAAGAAACCCCAAAAGTTGTTGGGTTGCAGCCAAGCCCTCAAGCCAGGAGAGCAGAGGTTCCCAACACTGATGCTCTCTCATCCCCTCCCCACTCCAGGGCATCAGCAGCCGCACCCAGCAAGATCCTCTCCTGAATTCCCTCCCTTCCCATTCAGGATCACATAACATCCCTGGGGCGATTGCTCACATGGAGAAGCAACATGAGGAAAGTATTTAATGCATGTTTATGTCTTTTAATATAGTGTAGCAGCTGGAATCAAAGGCAGAAACCTCAGGCTTCGGCACATGAGTATCATGACTCTCCACAGAGCCCCCTTCTAATCACTGCCACTCTCTGGACCACAGCTTTAGAAATCAGGCACTAACCTCTATTGCCTAATTAGCAGAGCAGTGTAAGGCTTAGGAGCAGGCATATCTTCTTCCTCCCTAAGTGGCCACAGAATAAATGTTATATCCCCAGTTCACAGTCCCTTTTTACATTGCTGGCATTACCAGTCCTTTGTGTACCCACATGCTGTTACTTAAATTGCTTCCATGTTTTCATTACTTGCCCTCTGTGCTATGTGTATTGAAACTCCTGCAAGAAAGCTGAAGTGGTATTTCAAATACTGAAGACTACTGGAGATGTGGCTGGAAATATTATGCAACAAGCTAAAGTGATTTTTCAAATCCTGATAGAGTTTGCACTTCCTCGGGAGGAAAAATAAATTCGGGTGCTACTCCATGAGGTGCAGGACAACCACTCCCACCCACCAGAGACACAAGAATGGCAGCTCGGTCTGGGAGGCCTATGTGTGTTCCCTGCATCCATGAGCAAGGTGGTAAACCCAAATAATGATGCTGCTCCCATGTGCAAGGGAAATGTGTGTGTTGGGCCAAACTCTCCTGGCAAAAATCCATGGAGGACAGTGGAGTGATGCCAGCTGAAGGTCTGGCCCACTCGTTTAAATGTGTTGTTCCTTCCTGCTGCTGCCAGTAGCTGCTTTTCTGGAGCTTGTGCTGATTAAAGCAACAGGCAATCAAACAGCCTAACGCCGAAATTTCAAAACCGCTAGAATCGTTTAAATGTGACAATCATTTTTTTTTCCCCCAGCCACTACTACTACAGCTCTCAGTGGTTCTGCAAGCACACACAGAAGGCTCCTGTGTGCTCTGCTTTCCCAGGGAAACACAGGGTTGGACCAGAGAGCTACATCTCCATGCGAGTTTCAACTTGCTCTTTCCTCCTAATTATCTTCCCCAAAAAATTTCTGTACCTGCCACAAGACACACGCGTTGGCCATGGAAGAAATTACGCTGGCAGCACTGGAACTTTTCTCCCACTCACTTCCAGCCTTCGCTTCCTGCAGTGCCTTTCATCACCCCATAGATAGGAGACGTTCACAGCCTGATCCTGAAACCCGCGAGCTGAGAGGCAGCCGTGTGCAAAATCCCTCCGGCAGCAGGGATGCAGGTTATTTCTCACCCTGGTGTTGCAGGCTGTAGGTGTCTCCAGGCATCAAACCCCTTGAGATCACAGCACCAGGGCCTTCCAGATCCCTGCTGGGGACATCTCTGCCGCAGCTGTGTCCCAGCAGCTGCCGCCCGGCAGCCGTTGGGTGTTATGCTAATGGATGCACCGGAGCAGCAGCCCTCCACCCATCTGCTCAGAGCATCCACCTGCTGGGTGGTAGGGGGTTTTTTGTTCGTTTTAATGGCCAGATTAGACCAGTGCTGACCCAAAGCGCTCCCAGCCTGAGCACAGGGTGTGAACACAGCCCCAGCCAGCTCAGACCTCACAGCACAGGTGCAAGCTGGATGCAGCCACGTCTGCTTCTTTCAAACTCCTTGTCCTGCTGCAATTAAAGTCTCACCCTGAGCATAACCACGCTAACAAGGTGCATTTTTAGTTATTGTTCACATAGGGTTTGTTTGGTTTTTTGTTTGGTTTTTCTTGCACATAACTTCCTTATACTTTGCTTTATTTATTCAACCTTTTCCAATGACCCCACACAGGAGAGAATACACCTTCCATACCCATCTGACTGCATGATAAATAGAAATGAAAGCTCTGATTTCTATGCAGTCATTTTCTTCACAGTCATTGCATGGTAGGCAGTGGTTTGCAATTCGTTTTTTCTCCCTGTGTGACCATGGAAGGATTGCTTGTGACACTTTTGCTGTCACCAAGCATAGTCTCAGGCAACTGCTGCTTCCTCTGAGACCTCTGCAAGCATTCAGGGAGGAAAGGAAAATCGATATAAGACATTGCTTGATGCTAAGACAGCCCATCCTTCCCAATAGGTGGGAAAATCCCTTCTTAGTGTGTTATAGGGCCAAACCTCTGCTGTGCTAAAAAGAGGTGCTCCTTTCATGGCCATAGACTGTGCCATTTAGCAAGATTCTGAGAAAAAAAAAATCCCCTTGTTGTTTGTTTCCCTCCCCTCCCCCCAAATTCAGCTTGTAAGAAAAGTACTCCAAGACTGCGTGATGTTAACCTCCCTGGGCTCTGCCTTGAGTCAATGGAAAGTGTTGAAGCTTCAAAAAGTAATTCTGAGTTATGAAAATTTTAGTTTAAGTCAGTCTGCTGAGGAGGGTTTCTCCAGGGAGAAGTGGTGGCAATTAGCCTCCTCAGGGCTTCACATAAGCCTCTGAGCATCCATCAAGTGCATAATGTATGGGAAAAGAGGGATCAAAGCTGTATGAGCAGGAAAACCAAGTCATGCCCCAAGCTCTAATCAGTGGGTGCCTACATCCTAGATGAATTTGTCCAGGTTTTGGAGATACTCATCAAATCTGGCTTCCTGACTGAACTCATCATGGTGCCCACATGCTACTAAGGAGGCAGAGGTGAAGTATTTGTATTTGACCTGACCAAAATTCTTTTTCTAATGACTGGGACAGAAAACACCACTACACCCAAAAAATCATGGGCATTCCCCAGCAGTGCTGCTTAATACACTCAAATTCATTTTAAGAACTAGGTGTGGGAGACACTACTGAAAATTCAAGCCAACAGTAAAACAAAAGGGTGCTCCAGAAAACAGCTCATACAAGGAAAGGATTTTCTTTCTTTTCCCATCCTTGACTAAATGAAAAAATAAAAAAAGATCCATTTTTCCCCAAACATAAAGTACCAAGAATTTCTCTGCAGAAGGATATTTCAAGGAAATGATAAGCATCTGGAAGAAAATGAGACTTATAATGGAAGTATTTTCTGTGGCATAACTGTAGTGCTGCTCGCACAATGCTGTAATCAAGAATAATGGAGCCCTTCACCCAGAATACAGGAATGAATTCAATTGTTCACTGTGCACATACCTCTATTTTAAAAATGCAGTTGAATGCTTTAACTGCCAAAAGGCTCGAGCATTAGCGCTCAGGCACAAAGCAGTTCAGAAGTGGGCTCCTTCATTTCTCACTCGTGTAATGATTAATCTTAAAACTCAATTACACACAAAAATAGAAGAGGCCCTGTTGAACTTTTGATCCCTTCTGAATTGTTTCATCTGAAGGATAGTTCAAGATCATTCCCGATGTGTATGCGGTGGTGTGGGATGACACCCGCCCCGTGCTCCTCCATGGCCAAACCTTGCCAAGGTTATGCCTTGGATACAAACTGTTTGAGCAGGTTTATTCCTCCCTTCTCCCTCTGCTCCCAGGAGAAATTGGAAATATTGTGAAAGGACAGGACTTACCTTCTTTTTGGAGTGTGATCTGTCCTCCTCTTTAGCTGTTTTGCTGTTTTTCCCAGTTCTGGAAAGCTTCTGCTCCCCAGACTGCTTGATGGTGATTTTGATCTCGGGAGGGCAAATATAGTTCTCCAGGTTCTTTGGGGGCTTCTTCGCTCTCTTGGTGGTCTGGATCTTTAGCTTTAAACTCCCCTCTGTGAAGTTTGCCTCCTTGATGGAAAACTCCTGCTCCTCCAGGCCATCTCCCGCCACCCACTTCTCACTGTCCGCATTGGAAGTGGAATCCACGTCTCTTCCAGAACCCAGCTCATCCTCTTCCTCTGGCTCCAGCCTCTCACTGCTCACTGGGATCCCCTTCCCCGAGCCTGCTGCAGGCAGCATCGTCTCCCCTGCGCAGCTGGAGACAGGAGGAGGCTTCGTGGAGGTGACAGCAGCAGGCAGAAAATCTGCCTCGCCTCCTCTCTGCCGGGAGCTGCTCAAAGTCTCCCTGGGCTCCATAGCAATACCACAATGCCCTGGAGTTTTGTTGGAGGGAAGGGGAGTGCGGGAGGGGGTGAGGAAAGCAAGGGCAGCTGTGATCCCAAGGAGCGAATGGTCACTGTCCACCAAATTCAATGTCCTGGTCACCCAGAGGCTGCAAGTTGCTCAGAAGAGACCAAATCTGCCACTGCCAAAAGAAAGAAGAAGAAAGAGAGGAAGTTAGCACACATACACACATATCCAGTGAGGGTGAAACAGGGCACAGGGCAAATTCAGGCTTCCCCTGTAGCATCCCAAGGGCTTTCCTTGAAGCAAAATGGGAACTGAGGCTCACCAGCATTTCTGAGGGCTGGACCTGGTATCACAAAGCAAGGAGCAATAGCCACGTGTACTGGTAAGCTGATGAAAATGAATATATATATATATAAACCAAAATACCCGAAATTGTTCTCTAAATCCAAACGTCTTCAACTCAACTTAGGAAATAAAGGAGGGGACAGCCAGTTTTCCACAACCATGAACCTCCCCCTTTACTTCAAAACTGTCACTGTCACAGGGTTTTCAGAGGGGGAAAAAAAAGTAGAGGCAGATACTTGCCTTGGGTTTAACAATAATGCATTGATCAGAGCACAGAAAACATGGTGCTGCCCTCTGAATCACTAAACTCTCTATTTCCCCATTTCCCAGGTATGAGAGAGAGATGCCCTTGGCAGTCAGGTATTCTGATCTCAAAGTTTTCCAGAGTTCCTCATTCCCTTGGCTACCACTGCTCTGTTGTAGAGACTTGGGCTGGCTGATGCACTGACTGTTCTCTTATCCTTGCAAATTTTGTCTTTCTTTGGAACATCAGAGATGGAACCCTCTGATATGGAAGCACTCGTACTTGGTACCTTATAAAGTCTCAGCTAAAGTTAAGGGGAAAAGCTGTGAATGTTCAACTGAAGCAAAAGTTGTGCCACCCAATGACATGAAAGACTAATATCAAATATCTTGTTAAAAATAACACTTATACAGTGTTTTTTAAAGGTATTGAGGTGTTTTCACACATCCTCCTTAAAACCCCCCTATTGGCACACCCCCACATGTATCCATCATTGGCAAACCAGTTTAGCTTACAGAATTAGCAGAGGAGTCTACAAAACTGTAGCCTTCAAAATTAGCAAAGAAAAATAAATATATTTTCTGCTACTTTAGGAGAAACAGCTCCCCAGTGGATCAGAGTAACACTTTTGGCATATGGAGAAGGAAACAAGAAGGCACTGCGAGGAGTAGGTGCATAGGGTGCAGACCGACTCTGTCAGCAACAACTCCCTGCTAGATTAGCTCTGCTACACTCAACTCAACTGCAATCAGGATCTGAGCACAGCCAGGGATTTCCTAGATCATTCTTAGCAGCAATATATAAAGGAGAAGCAAAGATGTCATGCTACCTATCACCAAATCAGAACAGCAATGTCAGTGTAGACTAGCCTGAAACACAGCTCAACTGGAAAAAACACATCCTTGTACCACTGGCTTCTTTCAGCTTTTTAAAGGTCCCTTGCAGGAGCTTGAAATTCAACAAGAAGTAATAACAAGCACCTTTTATTAGTTATAGATCCACATTTACACTGGAGCTTGGCCATGGGTCACTTGTCTGACCTGGGCACATATGGCTACTAATGAAAAGTCCTAAGCATCCTAGAGCTCCATGAAATCATTAGGTGACCTCCACCCAAGTCCCAGCAGACACAAATTCAAATAAAGTTCCCATAAATAGCACAAGCTGACAACTCAAGCAGAAAGAGAAAAAGAAGAAAAAAAAAGGGAGAACTCAGAGCCTCAATTGCCATCTGGCCTTAGAAATGGTTTCTGTAGCTCACAGGAGATAGAAATACACCATTAAAACACTTGTACTTAAGTTGCACATCTCCTGGAAATAGGGGGAAAGACTCATTTCCCAGAGCTGCTGCCACTGGTCTCATTTAAGGCGATCTTGAGGAACTAACAGAGCCAAGGTTTCCTGCGTACCCACCCTGATCACCCTGAGGTCAGCAGGTCTCTCCACTTCACCACCGGGGAAACAAGGATCACGCTTACCTCCTTCAAACCCATTCTGGAGTGGGTTAGTTAATGTCCTTGCATAGTTTCTAACCCAAGTGTTTACCGTGTGGTAGTTGCTAATTACTAACGCAATTAGTACGTTAAAGCCACCCAGTTGCAAGGAACTGCTCCACCTAATTTACTGACTTTGCACCTTGCCTTGCCTCTCCTTTGTGCCTGTGGAGGTGATGGGAGTCAGAGCTGCCACCTTCCTCTTCCAACCTGTCCAATAAAAAAAAAATAAAAAAACACAACAAAACCCCTCCAAACACCCCCTTCCCTCCCCATCCCCCCCAAACTATCTTATTTATCTGCCATTTTGCATTGTCAATCTACTTGGAGAGGCACACAATGTACAGCACACTCCTGGGCTGCAACACAAACACAAGGTGGTAAAAGCTCGGCGGTGGTGCAGCATTCCAGAGAGTTACTGCTTTGGTATGCACGCATGTACAATGGGCACTCTGTGCCGGCCTCCGCCCACAGGCTTTTAACCTCTCTCACTGCTGGCTGGAAAGGGAAGGCTCTGGCAGGCAGCACCTAACTCAGCACGATGAGTCTGCAGCCACCAAGGCTGCAAAAGGAAGGGACCACGGCCACCACACCACAGACACCCGGGTATTGAACGAACCCACTTGGTGCCTTGTGTTCAACGGGAGCTTAAATACAGCTCGTGGCTGCATTTAAGAGCCTGCAGAAAGAGCCAGGAAGGGCCTTTCAGGTTTTCAGTCACTGGGTAATGTTTTTTATGGAGGGTGAATAAAAACCCAGGTTTCTGCACTGAAGTCTGGTTGTGGGTCTTGGACCCAAACTCTGGGTCATAATGTCCAAACACTCATCCCAGCTTGGCTGTGTGCCTCCAGGTCAGTGTAAACAGGCAACAGATGAATAAAGTCATTGCATTACACCCATGTCAGATGAGTCCATGCCAAATCCACCTTAAAATCCAACTTAAAAATATTGGCCTCCTGTTCTGCCAAGAGCTTGCAGATGATATCAACAGACCCGCAGGTAGCAACAAATAACCCTGTGCTCAAACGCTGCACACAGAATTAACTGGGTCATTGTTTTAAGAATCTTCTTACTCTCCTCCAGGGTTAATAGTTAAATGATTTGGGTACAGGGACATCACACTCGTCTTTCTAGTTTGGGCAGGCTACCTGTGCTTTGACTAATTAGAAATAGCACTTCAGGCTTCTGAATGTGTAACCTTTATTGGAAACCTCCCTACCTCCCCTCTCCAGGGTGCCTGTGAGCAGAATCATAGAGTGGTTTGGGTTGGAAGTGATCTTAAACCTCATCTAGTTCCAACCCCTGCCACAGGCAGGGGCACCTTCCACCAGACCAGGTTGCTCCAAGCCCTGTCCAACCTGGCCTTGGACACTTCCAGAGATGGAGCAGTCACAGCTTCTCTGGGCAACCTGTGCCAGGGCCTCACCACAGTCACTGGGAAGAATTTCTTTCTAATATTCAAACTGCACTTACTCTCTGTTGGTTTAGAGCCATTCCCCCTTGTCCTACTGCTGAAGAGTTCTATTTCTATTTAAACACCCAAGACATGTGGACTACCACCTGGAACTTATCCTTCCAGGGCTCCAATGCTCTGCAGCATCAAGTCCTGTTCAATAAGCAGCTACAGAAGTGTCCAAATTAAGCTCACAGAGGAAAGTGTTACTGCTAGCAGGCTTCCTGCAGTCAAGTTAAATTTGAGGAGGATAATTCACAGGTGAATGACAACAAATTTCACAGAAGTTGGCATTAGCTCTTAATTAGGGAGACATTCACGCTTCCTCTGATAAGTACTGAGAAATAATCAAATGCCTGCTTGCTCAGCCTTGCTCCCAGTGCTCAGGTTTCTTATCAGCTCCTTTGGGTCATACTGGATGTCTTCCATTAAGGGTTCTGAATACATTCCTTTCTCCTGCCTCAGGCAACTGCTCATGCTTGTAAGTATTCAGATGCCAGGGCTATAAAGTGATTAAAGTGAAAATTTGCTGAGGACAAAAACAGAGGTGAGAGCCCGTAGGAGGTGGGGAGAAATCCACCTGTTTGGGATTCTCCATTAAATGAAAGTGGACATAATAACTGGCATGGCTTTTGCCCTAAGCTTGGACTTGATTATCTTGGAGGTCTTTTCCAAACCGTAATGGCTCTGTGATTCTAAGTGTGAGAGCAACCACAGTAGTAACAAGCAAACACTGGTTTGACACATGCAAGGCAGATTCAACTGCCCAGCATTTGTGCTGTGCTGTTCCTCTGAACTGCTCAAGCACCAGGAACACCAGCAGGGAGCTGGGAGCAATATTAAGAGGTGCTGCCCAAATCCCTTCTACACTAATACCACTGTAGCTACTGAGACTTGCATTTCGGAGTCTGTGAATAAAATTACTTAGGACGAAAAAGAAAAACACAAAATCTATTGAACAGGTTCAAGTGAGGCAAAACTGAGGCACAAGTCTGGGAATGTTGTGGTGAACACAAAGTAGAGGTCACATCTTTTCTGGCCCTGCATCTATCAGGTTGCCTTTGGATCTTGCGTTCTCCCATAGGACATACACTTAAATCCCTAATCTGTGCAAAATATCAGAAATCCTGGAAGCCTCTTTACACTCCATCTTTCTAAAACCATTCACCACAAAGCACTGGAGACTACACAGCAATATTTAATGATGAGATATCACCTTTCACTCCCAAGGCTCCCAGGTTGCTTCCATGATTATATATGCCACTGCTGAAATGCAGCTGCCTCTGGGGCAAAGGCCAATGGACAACCCACATTACACCCAAGGGAAAGTTTTGGTCAGAAACCTGCTTTTATGAGAAGTGTCTGTGAAACTTCAGAATTCATCAAGGGACTTAAAAACCCAACGGCCTGGCATGTGGCAAGCTGCACTGGACTCAGTTAACCCACATTAGGAATAAAAAAATGCCCCAACCTATTTCCTCATTATTGTTTTACAAAGAAAAAAAAAATGGAATTTCGTGCTTGGTTGTGGTCTCTGTCCATGCACTGCCAGATAGCCAGCAGCATGACTTTGATGGAGATTAGGAACAGGCGCCTGATCACACTTCCATGGAATGGGCAAGAACACAATATCAGACTTA